ACTTACCACTCGCAAACAGGTCGTTAGGCACCATACCTCAGCTTACTGGGAGGGGCCCCACCGCTCTCAACCAGGGACCCCGCCACCCCGCCAGGTCGCCTCCGTCCTCGGCGTCTACGGGCCCCGCGCCACCGCCATCGTCGCCCTGCGCATCCCCGGGTCGACTCCGACGTGCTTCGAAGTCGCCGTCCAGCCCGCCGGCACGGCGCATTCTCTCCTCCGAAAAGACATCCGCCTCGCCGCGCCGCCGTTCAAGACGCGCTACTTTGCGCCCGCGAACCTGCGCTCCGCGGCCGAGGACGAGAAGTACATGTCGCTGATCACGCGCTTCATCACCGAGAAGTGGACCCTGCGGTACTGCGGCGGGCTGGTGCCGGACGTCGTGCACGTGCTCGTGCAGGGGCAGGGCGTCTACGTCATGCCTGTGGGCGGCACGAGCAAGCCCAAGCTGAGGCGCCTGTACGAGCTGTGTCCTATCGCGCTGGTGTTGGAGACGGTGGGTGGAAAGGCGGTGGATCCTGTGGACGGTAGGGGAATCTTGGAGACGGAGGTGAAGGACTGTGATGAGAGGGGCGGCCTGATCTTCGGCAATGTGGAGGAGGTGGACAGTGTGATTGAGGCATTGCTGGGGAAGAGCTCTTAGAGTTGATCCATCGCATAGAAAAAAGAGGCGTTGACCCCCTAAAAGACCCAGATAGACGTCACATTCTACATATGAAATGACAGCAGTGGGAGTCGTGATTCTTCTCTTCAGCATGGTAAACATAGGTGCCTCGCGGCACTGTCCGGATGGGACCTAAACCTCTAACGCCTGGCTACTAAATGAGAACAAAAGCAAAAATGCACGTCCTCACGGGCTTTTCGTCCATCATCATGTCGTTACCGGATCTTCCGTCCATCGTCAATCGTACCAGGGCCGCTGCCAGGGCCTCACTCGGAAGCCCTTCCTTTGCCCTTGCCATCATGGGCCTTCGCCTCGGCCTGATCATCCTGGTCTTCGTCGAGGCCCTCGCGCTGCTGCTGCTGCTGCGGCGGCGACGCCTCCTCCGTATGTACAAGCTCAGTCTTCACAGCCCTTTCTTCGCCCGCAGCGACAACCTTCTTCAGGATGACCATGTGCTTGTCAAACTCGTCCAACAGAGCAGCGTAGTCTTCCTTGCCGCCGCCGCCGCTCTTGACCGAGCTCTGCGAGCCGGGCAGCGACTCGCCCAGCACACCAGTCGTGTCGTCCCCCGTCATCTCGACGCCCTCAATCTTCAGCATCAGCGCTCCGCAGTCGTCCTCCTCGGCGTCGCTCTGTCCCTCGGCGTCCGCCTTGGGGCCCCGGGCGGCCGACGAATCCTCGATCCTCGTGATCCTCGCGTCCGTCACGGCAAAGTCTCCGCTGAGGCTCGACGCCGAAGTCACCCGCCACGAAGCCGAGTCTCCCGTCTTCCCGTCCTCGACCGGCGCGACATCGACGAGGATGGCGTGGTTCTTCGGCTTCGAGGCGCTGTGCGACGACGACGACGACGACGACGCAGCCTGGTTTCGGGCGTGCGAGTCGGCGAGCGCGGCGGTCAGCACGGCGGGGTCGTCGTCTGCGAATATGTACTGCACGCGCGGGTGGTGTGTTTGCTGGCTCGTCGAGGCCGTGGCGCCAAACTTGGTGTTCGTGACGAGGGTGAAGAAGCCGGCGGGGTCGAGGGACGGCTGGGGCGGGGCACCGCTCTCGGACCGGCGAGACTGGGAGGATATCCGGCGCGGGTTCTCGGGAGGTAGGTCTGTGGTGTGGGCTGCCGGGTGTGGGGGGTTGAGGCGGGAGGTTGAGTCGTTCGCCGGGGCGTGTGTGTCGGCCATCTTGAGAGCTTGGAGCTCGGTCTTGGAGATGGGTCGATGGTAGGTTCGGCGCGTGGCCTTCGATCGCTCGACTAGAGGGCCGTGAACGAAGGGGTGTTGGTTTCCGGAGACGCCCTTCTGATCATCGCTCTTGGAGCCAGATGACTTGGGAGCACTTGGGGTCTCGGGGATGGAAGAGAGGGAGGATGGATCGAAGGTCTTTGAAGATGGCATGGTCGGAGCTGTTGGGGGACGTCACTCTTATCGGTGTGGATTCGTTATCGCCACGTGATCTCACATCAAGGTGGTGATGTTGTTGAGCTCAAAGGGCAAAGGGGAGCAGGAAGGTGCGCTGTGAATTGACAATGATGCAACATGTTCTTTTCGCCAGTAACAAGTATTTAGAAAAAAATACTGTGCAAGCAGTTGCGTGATTTACATACTGGTGTACCGATTGATTCCCTGGAGCCAGGTCCTTCTGCAGACAGGCAACAGCATCTCCTCAGCCACAGCCTGTGAAATCAGGCTGACCCTAGCCGTAGGCTTTCATCCTGCCCAAGATGTACTCATGGACTATGCATCATGGTCTGAGGGAAGTCTTTCAAAAAAGTATAGAAAGCCAAGGGGTATCATGTTTGTCCTGTATAACGCCGTACACTTAGCCCGCCATCATTCAGCCCAGGGAGAGCCCCATCACTCATTGCCAGATCATTCTGTCTCCGCCTCACCCTCTACCTCCTGCCGAGCTCCTGGTTCATCAGGTTGATTTGTCCATTCAAATTCTGGAGAGTTTAGCTTGCATTCAAATACTCATGGGGACCCGCGCAGAACCTACTCTGTCGGCACATGGGGCATTGGCCCTTCGCCGCGTCTTGCTTTATCCATTCCAGGATGCAATGCTGAGCAGGAGTCAGAGGAGATGCAGTCACGGGTAAAAGTAAGCGGACCTACCATATGAAAGTTATGTCCACATTTTCCAGACACTGTTCAGGCAGTCAATGACTGATCCTTGGCTGACCCAAAGTTGACTTACATAAACTGCAGTCATCGCCGGGATATTTGCATGTTGGGCATGTTCCGTCGAAATGGACTTGGCAGATACCACAGACGTCGTCCTCAGGAATATCCCACCGCCACGTTGCGACCGTATCCCAAGAAGTGATCTGAACCTTCATGTTGGGCCGCGAAGAGTTTTCGAGTATCAGACTCGGCAGAATGGCGGCGTGCATGTGAAGATGGAAAGTCGCTTTGTTGACATCTGAAGTGGTGAGGGGCAGTTGGAGATGCTGGCTGCCAAACCCGTTAGCAATTGGTTCCACTAAATGGCTGCTAATCACATGGCCCAAGCTCCACGCATACAGCGCATTTGGTGCAGCTGTGGTCAGCCAAGACAGCCGCCCCCTCCACTCGGAGTCCGTCCAGATGCCGTTCCTTATCAGCCCGCCTGCCTCCCCCATTTCCTGCCGCTGATCGACCTTTCGCCCGCTGTTGGTACCACCACTGTCGTCACACCTCTGCGAAGTAGTCTTACTCTGCCGACAACAGGGAGTCATCCAACCACCTGCACCGTGCAATGCCTTGTCAAAAGAACCAGCAGTAAGCTTTTGACTTGTCTTCCTCATACAGGAAGTCGGGTTCCGGAAGCTGTGGCTGTTGCTCGCCGCCGTCCTCGGCCTTCTCTCTAGCTATCACGCCATCGACGTGAAGACTCATCCGTCGAACCCCTCATATCAAGATGGCCAGCGCCGCCGTCTACCGCTCGACCCGAGCAGCGCTGCCTCGGTGGCACGCCAGACCCTACCAGATTGGTTTCACGGCCATCCGCCGTTCCTTCTCCTCCTACCTCGTCACCCCGAAAGAGCTGCACGAGGCCCTGCAGAAGAACCCCCCGACCAAGATCAGCACCGACCCGCGAGTCGTCCCCGTCTGCGCCTCCTGGTTTCTTCCCAACGATGGAAGGACAGGCATCGACACGTTCCGCGAGCAGAGGATTCCCAAGGCGAAATTCTTTGACCTCGACAAGGTCATCGACCGCAACAGCCCCTACCCGCACATGCTGCCGTCCGGCAAGGACTTTGCCGCGACCATGAGCGAGCTCGGAATCCGCAAGGACGACACAGTCGTAGTGTACGACACGAAGGAACTGGGCATCTTCAGTGCGCCCCGTGTCGGCTGGACGTTCAAGATCTTTGGACACCCCAAGGTCCACGTCCTGAACAACTTCAAGCAATGGGTCGAGGAGGGCCTGCCCACCGAGTCGGGCGAGCTGTACTCTGTCGAGTGCTGCACCTACCAGATCCCCTCGCTGGACGAGAGCAAGGTGGCCGAGTTTGAAGAGGTTCGCGAGGTCGCTCTTGACCACAACAAGGAGGGCGCCGAGGGCGTGCAGGTTCTCGATGCTCGGTCACCCGGACGCTTCGCCGGCACCGATCCCGAGCCCCGCGAAGGCCTGTCGTCGGGGCACATGCCCGGCGCCATCAACGTCCCCATTGGTGCTCTTCTCGACCCTCAGACGAAAGCGTTCCTCTCGCCCGAGAAGTTGAGGCAGGTGTTCAAGGAGAAGGGCGTTGACCCTGAGAAGCCCATCATCTCGAGCTGTGGCACTGGCGTGACTGCCTGCGTCATTGAGACTGCCCTCGAGCAGGCACAATATGGATCTGCGGAGAAGCGCAAGGTCTACGATGGCAGCTGGACGTGAGTGGCTTGCAATCAAAAACATTGAATATCCACTAACTCTGTGCACAGCGAATGGGCTCAGCGTGTCTCGGCATCCGACTCGCTGATCAAGAAGACGGAATAGGCTGGAGCTGGTGGTTTGATGGTTGCGCGCGATTGCGATACCCCGCTTTACCCCTCTCTTGGTTATTTGTACAACTTGGACGTCACGATATCCCGACTCATGGCTTCTGCGGTCTCTTTTTAACGACTGTTGCATATCTGGTGGCTTCGAGTGAATGCTTCTGGGAACGATTGCTTGCTTGGTTCAGTGACAGGACGTACATAGGGCAGTAGAGGAATGCACGATGACTTTGCGATTTGTTTAATGTGTCTGGACCACCGGGACTTGCTGTTTATAACGGCAGCCCACGAGATTGCGATCTTCATATCGTCGTCATTCAATTGTCAAGGAGTGCCAGCAGCAAGCCGTCGCCTCGGTCCCAAAGAAATAAGCCTCGGTGTGAAGCTTATCGAAATGTTTATCGGTGTAAGGCTCACCGAAATGTTCATCGGTGTGGCCACCGAAACATGGTGGGGTCACAAAGCGCACCCCACCAGCACATTGTGGCCTAAAAGTTGAGGCCGCACGCGCCAATCGAAGAATTAGGGCTCGCATCACCGAGCCACACCAATTTTTGCTGGCCGGGCAAACGAACGGGCCCCCGCAAAATTTCCGCGGCCCTGACCTCCTACTTCGAATTCGACCTCAGAACTCACCCACGCCCAACGAAACCGACGACAGCCCCCAAAAACATCGCCCTTGCGCCGACACGACTGTCACCCGACAACAACACAAGCGCAAACATGGCTGACCGTGGAACAAGCGCCCCTCGCGGCGGTGGTGGATTCGGAGCCCGTGGTGGTGATCGCGGTCGTGGCCGTGGCCGTGGCCGTGGACGTCGCGGCGGCGGCAAGAACGATGAGAAGGAGTGGCAGCCCGTCACCAAGCTCGGTCGTCTCGTGAAGGCCGGCAAGATCAGCTCCATTGAGGAGATCTACCTGCACTCTCTGCCCGTCAAGGAGTACCAGGTCGTCGATGCCTTCCTGCCCACCCTCAAGGACGAGGTCATGAAGGTGAGCCGTAACAGAGCCACGCAACAGGGCACAGCAATTTTGCTACGGCCTGGCGAACATCACGGAACACAGCCAAAGCACAACAGCTAACCCGCCCTTTCTTCCCTCCTTACAGATCAAGCCCGTCCAGAAGCAGACCCGTGCCGGTCAGCGTACCCGTTTCAAGGCCATTGTCCTGATCGGTGACTCCAACGGCCACGTCGGTCTCGGCATCAAGACCTCCAAGGAGGTTGCCACCGCCATCCGCGCCGCCATCATCATCGCCAAGCTCAGCGTCATCCCCGTCCGTCGTGGTTTCTGGGGTACCAACCTTGGTCAGCCCCACTCCCTGCCCTGCAAGGAGTCCGGCAAGTGCGGTTCCGTTACCGTCCGTGTAAGTTGAACATCTCGAACAAGACTACCAGTCGAACCCAATTGGCAGCAAGAACGGCAAACTGACAAAAGCTGCGCAGCTCATCCCCGCCCCCCGTGGTACCGGTGTCGTCGCCTCCCCCGCCGTCAAGCGTCTCCTGCAGCTTGCTGGTGTTGAGGACGCCTACACCTCGTCCGCTGGCTCCACCAAGACCCTCGAGAACACCCTGAAGGCCACCTTCGTCGCCGTCTCCAACACCTACGGCTTCCTGACGCCCAACCTGTGGAAGGAGACCAAGCTCATCCGCAGCCCGCTGGAGGAGTTCGCCGACACCCTGAGGGATGGCAAGAAGTACTAGAGAGGAGAAGAGGTGAAAGATGAGGGCAAAGAGCAAATGGGGAGCGGAATGGCTACGGGATTCTGTTCACCAGGGGAGTGGCGTTCTTATTTGCGCGTTTCCACTGCATCATCGGTTGGCCAGGGCATGAGATCATGGCTAGGGGCTAGCTCGGATCTGGAATAAAAGATCAAATGCATGACGCTCGGGAGCGGGTGCTCTCCTGGAATTGTGGTTTGACGACTTGAATGCGAATGCGACATGATGAGGCAGTGTGTTATCGATTGCAGAGGCAAGAGCAAGTGCGTGAATGTGCACGGCCGTGGCTTACGTGATGAAGTCGACAACAGTTGACGACAATGCAAGTAGAACATGGTGATGATGCTCTACAATGTCACAGAACCTGCCGATTCTCCCGCATCGTCACCAGCCTTGACAGACCGGCAGTATTCTGCACACTACCAGCACAGCCTCTCATCACACCACTATTGGCTCGCGCGATGAGGGTATGCAGAGTGACTGGGCGCCACTCCCCCCGCCACAGTGCTGCGGCCAACGGAAAGGCAGACTCGAGGCCGAAAACGTGACCCACAGACGAGCTGATCAGATCCTCGGTCTGAGGCAGCAGCAGTCTGTCTGTCTTCTGGTGTTCTTGTCATTCTTCACGTCGCCATCTCCATTCGCACCATGTTGAGGAGCTGATGTTCGAACGCCCCTCACGAGAAGATACCGGTCCGCACAAGCCCGGAACCCCTCATTGTTCCCATCTATTACAGACTCGATGTCCTTCTTGTAACACCACCGACCTCCCGTGGCTTCACGTTGTTGCTCGCGATGGCAAAAGCGCGGGCTCATATTGTCCCAGCGAACGGGTTGACAATACTTGTTGAGCCTGAGGTCGCCTCAATCGAGTAAGCTAAGAGCTTCCCTTTTCAGTCCATACGACTTTAAATGTCGAGAAGCGTCAATTCCTAGGAAGATAATGGATGGGTCTGTCAGAATTGTAGGGTACGGCCGCTTGCTGCTTGATCCCTTCAGGGCCCCTTGATATCCATCTTCCATGATGCTCATGATACCCAGAAGATGTTGCTTACACGGAGGCACATATATTGCCTGAGAGCTACCGTACACATAAAACTAACCAGCCTAGTATCGTCTTCGTCCATGGATTTACCGGCCATCCCGAGCGCACTTGGCTCCAGCCATCGCCTTATACTTACCAGAAGCAAGCCATCGCTGGAACCAAGAACGCACGGTCTTCGAGGTTTCAAGGCATATTAGATAGCTTGAAAGGACGGCCGAAGAACAATGTGTACTGGCCCAGAGATTTGCTGCCCACTATTCTCCCTGACGCGAGAGTCCTGACATATGGGTACGATACGCGAATCAGCCATCCGTTCGGCCCGCAGAGAAGCCAGTCCGGGGTCTACGCCATCGCTCGTAACTTTTTATTCGAGCTCGAGGGCAGGCGTCAACCTCCAGGTCGGCCAATTATATTCGTTGTCCACAGTCTGGGAGGTATTGTTCTGAAGCAGTTGTTGAAAACATCCTCCGAGAGCCTTGACGAGCGCGCCTTCTTGAAGGACGTTTACGACTCAACGGCAGGGGTTTTGTTCTTCGGCACACCACATGCAGGTGCTGACCCACGGGGGCTGGCGCATCACGTTGTCCAATCGATCGCTAAAGCGATGCGGATCTCAGCCAATTCTCAGATCCTAGACACTCTGCTGCCTTCTTCCGAACGACTTGAAGAGCTCAGAGACCATTTCAGGCCCATGGCTATCCGCCAAAACTGGTTGATTTACTCCTTCCAGGAAGCTCTTCCGGTTCAATTGCTGGGCAAGAAAGTGGTCGAAGACGTCTCGTCGTGCCTCGATATACCTCAGGAGATCAGGCAACACATCCACGCCAACCATATGGGGATGTGCCGCTTCAATGAGCTGGAAGATCCGCAGTTTCAGAAAGTCAAGCATGCTCTGCGCAGGCTTGCCGAAGCTGCCTTGACTCGAATACGAGCTACATCACCGGGTCTATCTATGGAGTCGGACGACACTGACCTCACGGAAGAACAAAAGAAAGTCTTGATTCAGTCCTTGGCGTTCGAGCAGCTAGATGCGCGCCAGGGAAGTATCAAAAAAGCACACGATAAAACATGCAGGTGGCTGCTCCAAAGAAAAGCCTACTTAGATTGGCTTGACTCTGAAAAGTTTGATCGTCATTATGGCTTCCTTTGGATTCAAGGCAAACCGGGTGTTGGAAAGTCTACGATCATAAAGTTTCTGTGTACTGAAATGAAGAACAGCTCGTGAGTCACCTGCTTACAGCCAGTCTTGAATTATCTGCTTCTGAGTGTATGCTGAAGACAGCTTAGCAAGTCGGGCAACATCATCATTACATTCTTCTTCAACGCAAGCGGCGATGATTTAGAGAGGTCGACACTGGGAATGTACAGATCTTTGCTCCTTCAACTTCTGGATGAGATCCCGCCACTCTGGGCAATCTTCAATCATATCTATAAGCTACGATGGCGAACAGCTGAACGCCATTGCTGGGATGTGGGTATCCTCCAAGAGCTTTTGGAAGCGGCTGTTGAACACTTGGAAAATCATTTGGTTACGTTTTTCATCGATGCCCTAGATGAGTGCAAAGATTCCGATGTTCACGACATGATCGACTTCATGAGACGCATGAGCCAGAAAGCTATTCTATTCGGAAGCCAGGTGCGCACATGCTTCTCTAGCAGACATTATCCCATCATCACACTGGAGAGAGGTATCGAGGTTGTCCTAGAAAACCAGACTGGCCATGCCGAGGATATCAAGGAGTACATCGAAGCTAAACTCAAGCTCGGTCCGTCTCAAGCAGCGAAAGACTTTGGTTCAGAGGTACAACAAAAGGCAGCCGGCGTTTTCATGTGGGTCGTACTTGTTGTACACATCTTGAATGATGCCCATGTTGGCGGCCAAGGTCGCATCCAGGAACTCAGAAAGCGGCTCGACGTCTTGCCACGAGACTTGCACGATCTTTTCAGAAATATCCTCGACAGGAACAACACGAATTTAGAGCACCTTGCGCTTTGCCTCCAGTGGATTCTTTTCGCCAGACGACCGCTGACCCCTCCAGAGCTCTACTTTGCTCTCCATTGCGATGGAAACACACTGGGGGGCCTCCAGTCTGCGGCGTGGGATCGAGAGGATATTCCACTTGATATGATTGAGAGATTTGTCATAACTTCCTCGAAAGGTCTTGCGGAAATCAGACGATCCCGACGACCAACCGTGCAGTTCATTCATGAGTCTGTTCGAGAGTTTTTGCTTAAAAGTCACGACATGATTAACATCTACAATTCAGTACCGGACGAAGTGGGAGGGAGAAGTCAGGAAAGACTTGAAAAATGCTGCGCCAACTACATTGATCATGTCTTCAACTCGATTGAGATGACGAATTTTCTAGCTAAGGACTTGCCAGTAGCCCATACCACAACTGAGAGCCGGCTTCTACGAGAAACCTGCGAGCGCATTTTCCCATTCTTGCGATATGCCGTTCAAAACGTCTTCCACCATGCGGAAAAGGCTCAGCAGGCAGGGCTTCCACAGAACAAATTTCTCGAAGAGTTTCAGTTCCAGCACTGGCTCGGCGTACTCAACATCCTCCTGGGCCGCCAGACGCGCCGTTACAAGCAGAGTGGTCTTGATTGCCTTTTGGCAGAAGGCAACCGGCCTGCACTACTCGAACTCGTTTGGCGCCATACTCATGCTCCCAGGCACGCGTGCTTTGTCAGTTCCGGCGCGCATTATGATTACGGCTCGCCGCTCATGGTGGCCGTGGCCCGCGATAGCAGAGACGTCTTGAGGAAGGTTCTCGATATGCAAGCTTCATACTGTGGCTTCGAGGATCTCATTCCTGACTTACAACGCGAATGCGACAACGCACCGTCCCCACTGGTTCCGAAGGGGCGTGACTTCGACTTCCAACCTCACATACGGAAGGCGGCGGGGAATGCACTGTTAGCTACATCGGATCTATTTGCCGCATCCTCCACGTTGCTGCAAATTCTCGCGGCTATCTCATGGCACTACCAAGACTTCTCGAGCAATGTAGATAACGTCATTCGGCATCTTCTGAGTGACAGAAACCTTCTTGCTCTGAAGATTTTGTCTAGGAGCCCGAAACTTCGATCAAAGTCTGGTAAGGTTTTCAGGGCAGGCACGCCGCATCTGGTAGAAGCCTGCGTCTCGAATCACAAAAAGAAGGTGGCCATGCTGCTAGAAGTCGATGTGCAGTTGGCCGTGTGTAAAGACGACTCGGGCATCTGCACGTTGACCCATGCCTGTCGAGCAGGCTACCCTGAAGTCATCGCAATAGTGCTCGAAGCGAGCAGGAGCGCGCGGCAAGATGCGATACAGGGTGGTGTTGATGCGCCCGACCATGTCAAGGACCATCAGGCGTGCGAGGAGTTGGCGGAGCTTCTAGTGAAGCACAGCGATCATGACTTTTCAACGTCGAACATGTCAGCGCTCGCTTACTATGCCACCAAAGGGTCAGACATCATGGTTGAAGCATTGTTGCGAAGCGGAGCAGGAGCAGACGCCGTTCCATGGCAAGGAACGAACCTCCTGACCTGTGGCATCGAAGGAGGCCATACAGGCATCGTCAGGATGCTGCTCAATGCCGGAGCGTCTGCGAATGCTTCGTCAAGGTTTTGCCAGGCACCCCTTGCACTGGCAGCCAGCCTAGGGCATGATACGATCGTGGCAGACTTGCTCAGTGCAGGAGCAGAGGTCAACCACGAGTCAATCGACGGTCGAACCGCACTCTCCCATGCGGCCGAGAACGGCCACCACGCAATAGCCATGCAGCTGTCGCAGCGAGGAGCCGACTTGAGGCACGAGTCCGCATATGGGAGAAACGCACTTTCATACGCTGCTGAGAATGGTCGCGAGACGATCGTGGATCTCCTGCTCGTGCAACATGTGCACGAGGCGATCTCAGGAGCAGATGCCACTGCGCAACACTCCGACTGTTCACAGATTGTTCCATCCCGGCAGTGTGCGTCCACGGAACTGAAAAGCCTCCTCACACCACTGCACTACGCGGCAGGAGCGTGCCACAGCGGCATCGTCGACCGACTGCTGAAGAGAGGAGCCGATGTCGAGTCCCGGAACGCGTGGTCGCAGACCCCACTGGTGTTCACCGCCGCAGCAGGCTATGCGAACTTTGATGTCCTCTCCCTAGCCATTGGGTCCACTCTCATGTCCTCTCCGCAAGACACGGCACCCTCCTCGCCAGCTGACAGTATCGGCTTTGCCCACGCATCAGCTCCAGAGATGGATTCGGGACCGGTCCCGGGTGAAGATGCCCTGACGTTGGAGACCGAGGCAATCCGCTCGAGGCGTCTTGACACGGTCGAGCTCCTGCTTCTCCACGGAGCACTCATCGACAGCGCAGACGACGACGGCCATACGGCGGTGGCGTGGGCTGCTGCGAGAGGTGACACGGACATGCTCAAGCTTCTCATCGAGAGAGGCGCGTCGGCTGATGTGACTGATACTCTGGGGAGGACGCCACTGATGCACGCCATCAGGTTTGGGCACGCCAAGGCCGTTGCCTTGCTGCTTCATACAGGCGAAGCTGCTGCTGACTCGAAGACGTTGGTCCTGGGAGCTGGACGGGAAGAAGCTGAAGACCGGGATTGAGTCGCGGTTCGCCCGCACCTGGTCAGGATGAAGGCCTGTACCTGTGAAGACAGACCACATCAGTACAGTGGAGAGATCGACACGTTTGTGCTCGTTTCAACATCCGAATCCCTAAAAGATCAGATGGTGGAGAATGAAGAAGATCATGTCCAACAGTTGCTACTAGAAGGTCGACCAACAGTCCACAAGGCCAGACAAAACCCCAAACAGTGTACACTACGGTTCCACCAGTGAAGTCGAAAAAGGGTATCCACGACATGTCCTCGCCACTACCATCCACTTGATTCAGGCCACTCCGAAACCGAAGGTTTCCCTCAAGTCCCAAGTCCCAAGTCCCAGTCCCAAGTCCCAGTCCCAAGTCCCAGTCCCAAGTCCCAAGTCCCAGTCCCAGAGTCCTCAAACCCGGGCGTACATGTACCATGTACACCAAAACCCTTTGCTACGTCTCTCAAGCTGGTCGCGCCCTTCAAGCACACTTGTTCGTTGCCGCCCCACGCAACCGCGCAGCACAGCCTCCTTCGCCCCGGCCTCCCAATTGGCCCACGAGGGCCGTGACCAACTCTTTCTCCCCCCCGTCTTCCGGGCGACCAGCACCGCACGGCATCCGCCAGCGTGTTTTTTTTTTTTTTTCCTGCTCTCCCTTTCCCTTTGCCAAATACCGCATAGTACTGAACTCTCGATGCCCCCCTGGTTCTTCCTCTTTCTCGCCCGGCCGTCATCCTCGGCTTCGGCATCGGGCCTGGTACAAGCAGTGAACAAACGACACGAGCACTACCCTTAGTGGAGACGCTGTTCAAGTCCGCCGACAATCAAATACAAGGAGTCTTGGCAAATCTCACGTGTCACTGGTGCTGCGTTAGCGCCAAGGGAGGGAGGGACCCTTTTCACGTCGATCGCGGGCGTCGTGCCAAGATCGACGATGGTCGAAGGGGGCCCGGACGGCGCGGCCTCGGCAGGGGGGGGGGTTGTTACTTGTAGTATGGATAGCTGCTAATTTGGCGGCGCACCAATCGAGGTGTAGGACTTTGTGTCTTCGAACCCTCTCTGCGCACCGTAGTGTTGGGCCCCGTTTTTTCCCACCTATGGTGCAGTTGACAAAGACGACGTCTGTCTGCCCTGCGGGTTTGCGAGGAGACATGGGCGGACATGCCGTGGGGGCTTGACGAGGTCGCAGAGAAGCTGCCTTACCTATCTTGCCTACCTACCTAGGTACATTACCTGCAGACCCAGTGAGAAAGACCGCTGCTCGGCGGGGCTGGCATCAGAAGGATGGAGATGCCTGAATCTCACATGTGGTTGACGTCAGATACGGACATGCAGTAGAACTGGCAGCACAGTTGAACAGTGACGAACCGTGGAACAGTTGACGAACAGCAGAGAACAGCAGAGAACAGAGAATGTACACTGTTTATTGGACGAGGCTCCGACCGTTTGGTGGACTGCATCACAGACCACTGTCTAGAACATGTCATGTTCCAACGTTTTCCTACCCCTCGTGTAGTGATTTCGTCCATCCAGCTCCAAAAATGCGGCTGGCATTCCCAATTCGTCGCTCATGCAGTAACTGAAGATGAAAAGGCCACCCCGAACGCCGGGCGCGTGGGACGAGCGCTCTCCCTGCTCGTCGACGTCGCGCCGATCCCCCGCCATCCATGTGTTCGTTGTATATAGAATGAGCCTGGCAAGCCTGCCTCCGGGATAAAAAGAAAAATGCGCCTCCTCCTCTGTCCTGGCTTTCATCGCATACATGTGCGTATGCGCTCTCGTGCGCAACGCACGATTTGACAAAAGAAACTTGAAAGTGCTTTCTGGTAGATACAGTGCCATGCTCCGAAGCCGAAAGGTCACAGGGGTATCATTGAAGGATCGAGGTTGATGGGGCCGGTCGACCGGCAACGAGTCGCATAGAAGATGGCATGTCCTGGATGATGGCGCCCTGAATCGCTTGGGCGTGAAGTTGATTAGACAGAAGAGATTAGTGACATGGTCTGCCGTTCGACGTGGCAGTTGTGAAAAGTGTGTGACGAGGCTAGTATAGGAGCCACTCAGGGTCGGTCGCGGCGCTGGTTGGGATCGCGTGGAGGGAATTGTTCGCCTCGGGCAGCGAGGTATTCGGCCGATCCAGTCTGGCGACCGGGCTGTTCTGCGGGGAGTTTCGTCTCGTCATTGCGGGCCCTGCGTTGAGGGCTCTGCTCTTGGGCAGCAGGCAAGCTCGGTACGCTGGGAACGCCAGGAACGAGCTCAGTGACGGCCTGGGCGATGGAGCGAATGACATTGTTGCGGAGCTCACGGTCTTCGCGTGCGTCCTCCTTCTCCAGGCGGAACCGTTCGTCCTTGCCCATGTTTTGCCTTCGGATGTTTCGAATCTCCTGTGTGATGTAGAGCAGAACCTCTTCAGGGCATCGGTTGCGTTCGTTGGCAAAGTCGGCCTTGCGGACGTAGCGTCTGGTGACATCGGTGGCGCCGTCGATGGAGAAGGCGATGCAGTACGACATCTTCTTGCCCCAGCCTTCTGTGTAGAGGCGAGGGTTATCCCATGCCTCCTCTACGGCATCGACGTGAACCCATCGCTTCTGGTGATCGGAGTAGACCTCAGTCCAAACATGGTCCTCGGCGTTCCACACCCAGCGTACACGGCCGCCAACCGCCCTGCAAAGCATGCTGAAGCAGTTGGCCCATTCGCCGACACGGCCTCGGCGCGTCTGCAGTAACCTCCAGACGTCACCGTACCGGGGAAATCGGTCGAAGGCCCCGCAGTTTCCGGCCGAGCAGCGATACAATTCGACTCGCATGGCACCACAAGCACTCTCATCGGGGGTCGGTGCCGTCATGCCCTGTGCGATAGTGGGTGACATGCAGACAGGGCAAGGTGGGTTGTTGACCCATGTGAAGAATTGACGCTTGAACCACCTTCAAGACAAAGTCAGTCAAAGACCCGTACAATGCCAGGAAGATTCGCCTGGGGTACAGAGGGGGGTGATATCGATCACCAACATACCTAAGAAGTGCTCGGATGACGCAATCTTGATAGCCCCATGTGGCTCTCGACCCATCACCTAGGCTCATGGCCTCAGCCTGCATGACCTGGTGCTCTTCTTCGGCCTCGCCATAGATCTGGTCGAGTGGAATGACTTGGAGGGCTTCGTCCAAGAGACCAGGGTTTTCGTACTTTGTTGGGGTCAGAGAGAGGCTGACCAAGAGATTCCTAAACTTCTGCGAGTCGCGATCGTGTGCTGCGGGCGGTGTTGGGATCTTGGGGAGATTGCGTATGGAGGAATAGGACGGAGGTATCGTCGATCCAGAGGATGTCGTCGGGCGGCTGGACATGGCCGGTGCAGGGCTGCGTAGGTTGGCGCTGCTCGCTCGCTCGCGTGGTTGAGGGGTGCCTCGCCGGGATGAGGACGACCGGAGGTCGTCCATTCGCTTGTCACGGAGTAGACCTTCGAATTGGATCCTCAAGTCGCGAGCCCATTCCTCGCCATATTCGGAGGCTTGCTGTTGCTGCGACGCACTGCCCTGGCCGGGCGGGAAGCGTCGGCCAGCCATGGTAGGTGGAGTGGAGGAAGCGGTTTAGACCACTATCGAATCCAGTTGAAGAGAGGGCAAGGTTGTGTGTACTCTGGTTTGAGTCGTGGCCGGGGGAATATGAATGAAGTGTCGAAAGGGGATGTGGAGGGGACCAAGGGACCGGTCAGCGATGCGTGAGTCGGGACCAAAAGTCGTCGTCAGCGAGGGGGTGAATGGGACTCGTAGGCTCGGTTGCCACACAGAACGGGGGTATGTGTCAAGGCTTCAGTGGCTTTGGTGGAGCGAGAGATTGGGTTGTTCTACGGGCGTGGAAAGATGCGGTTCGAGACGAAAAGATGCGCCGCGTGTCGTGGGGTAGATCACTCGTCGTCGTCGTCGTGCGTCGTTGCCGTGCTTGTCCCTGTCAATGTTGAGGGTGTCGCGCGACTTTGATGCTGGGTAGCGGATTCGTTGTTCGAGGCACGCACGGGGTACCTAGATCTTCAAAGGTTTGTGGCAAGATGGACGCTGCCGGGTGCACGCGCACTGCGGTTGTTCGTCGAATCCGGCGTCCAAGAGGTGCTGTAATGGCTCGATGCTTCTAAGCGGCGGTCGTACTCCTGTCTTGACCCGGTGATTGCGTGGGCGGTTGACGAAGAGGGGAAGGGGAGGAGGGGGGGGGGGTTATTGCGTCTGGTGTTGTGTGTCTGTAAGGCAAGTAGGTAGAAGGTGGAAGGACGGGCAGGCAGGCAGGCAGGCGGATGGCAGACGTGCCAGCGGGAGGAGGGCGACATGAATTGGGGCGGTGGACAGTGGGCTGTGAACAGTGGACACCAGGGGGGAAGGAATAAAGAGGGACGCACTGATGAAGGGTCCCGCCTGCCTCCCTCTCTGCGTGTGGTGCTCTCTGGGCTGTCTTCCGCAAGTGCAACTTACGCGTAAGCTGTGCGGCAACAGCCAATGGGAGATGGCCTGCGACCTCGGAGCGGAGACAGATGGCCAGGTGGGTACGTATCTCTCCAGGCTGGAACCCCACTTTGCCAATGGTCAAGTCGCGCTGATGAAGGAGGGAAAGAGCGGCCAGAGCCACTGAAGAGCGTCTGTACCTGCCAAACCGGCACTGAAGCTGGGCTGGGGGTTCCTGACGAGGTCCTGAGTCCAGCCAGCCCTGACGAGTCCTGAGTCCAGCCAGCCCTGACGAGTCCTCAGTCCAGCCTGCCCTGACGAGTCCCGATGGGCAAGACGTCTACGCAGACACTGGAGCCTCCACGCAAGCCTCTGAAGCCGCGCCCCTCCCCCACAACCCGGACGTCTCATTTCCTTTACTTTACGGTATATGGACAATGTAAAATCGATACTGTTTCGCCGACCGATTATCTTTCATCGATGAGCTGCATCATGCCTATGGAAACTTTGCGCAGGATGCGCACACGTGCAGGCCAAGTCGCATCACGGCACCTGGCGTGCTCGTGCTTCTCCTCACCGAGCGGCAGCCCACTACGTAGATGGGTAAAAGTATGCGCACCTACGTACTTAGGTAGGTACCTAGGTAGGTAGGTACCCAGTCTTGCCAGTCACTTGATGTCGGCGTCTGTTGGTGGGACGTCAGCTCGGTCGGTACCTGGGCGTCGAGGCCAGGGTTCAGGTACAGGCACGGGAGCCCGACTGAGGAGAGAAATGCCCAGAAGACGCTACTCCAGCAGCATCGCTCCGACTCCGACAAGGTGACCTACCGAGTTTCCAGAACCCCTTTCGTAGGCAGGCAGTCATCATCCGGCCTCAACTGTCTTTGTCTCAATTCCTCGATCGCCTGTCCCGTGGCGCTGGCAGTGGTACGGTACCATGTAACATGTACAGGATTGTCCCGGAAACCAGGGCCATGCGCATGCGCTTCCGCACTTCCGCACTTCCAGACGAGGCGGGGATTCCGCCGAGGGGGCGATGACGAGGCGCAGGTGGCTGTTTCCAATTGTGGCCATGAGCAGCGTTGCTGACCAGACAGGTACCGACAAGCAAGACACACAGCCTGTGAGCCAGAGGCCCGGAGGCCCCAAGAGGGGGCTGCCTTGCTGTGGCTCAGCACGACTTCTCGGCCACCCCTTCACAGGTTGTCGGACGCGTCCTGTGGATCTGCAATCCTGAATACCTCTTTCTTGGACCGCCGCCTCAAACCCATTCGTTTCTCGCCATGCGCGATCGACATGTTTTCCTTTTTCCCCTTCTTTTGCCTCTCCGTTGCGATTGTCGATATCGCCCTCAAGATTACCCCTTCTGTTACGACTCCATCCCATGGCAATCCTTCCTGCCTCCGCAACAGTGCTAATCTAGACCGCCTCTTCTTAGGGTGTGATCACCTAGCTAGCCCGATTTTGTTTGATTTCTTCCCCCCCTCTTCTTGCGAGGCAGGCCAGGTCCCTCCACTGGATCCTACGTACGTAGATGCCGCGGTGCCGTGGTGCCGCGATGCCGTGCAGGCCACTGCTGTGCTGAACTTGGACCCCTAATCAGTCGCGTCCAACACCAAGACCTATAGCCTGCTTGGCCTCGAGGGGGAAAATAGATTGCACCCCCTGCTCTAATCGTACGACATGATGGCTTTCGCACCACAGTCCTGACAGTTGCCCAGTCTGAGGCGGTTTGGCCGTCAAGATTCCGCCTCTGTGGAGGAATTTTCATGGAGAATTTCCTGCGCCCAATTCGCATGGCATGCTGATGATACAGATCCCCTCGAGTGCCGAGATATAATCTGATGTGTTGGCGACAAAGAAGCCCCTCGAGGGAGGCCCTCCGACATGCCGTCCGACTTGGCTTCCGGCGCCGCCCATGCTCCGAAAGCAGCGATTCAGTACTGCTGCTGCTCGATTCTGGATCCTCCATGTTGTAACACCATCGCCTACTGTCTCCAGATCTTTGACAACAGGGATGGAAATGCCAGAAGCTCAGCTCATAAACGCATCGTGCCAGGGACCCTCGCTACTTGACTCTCTTGCTCACAAGCATCCGAAGACATCCGGCAACGAGGCTTGCAAGACGCAGCCGATAGCGGTCGCGTAGCCTGTAGTGCCCAAACGAATGACACGTCGTCTGCCAGCAACTCATCTCTCATGTCTGCCGCGTGCCGGGCGGACATGACTAGCGCGCAGCCTTGTGCGACCTTTTTTTTTTCTTGCTGGTGCCCACTGGATCCAAGGGGTACAGCTTGCGCGTACAAGTACAGGCTCTACTGTGATTGCCACCCCACATCACATGGCGGAGGAGACGCACGCATCGAAAGTTTGCTGTGCAAAGCGCTGGCCCGCTGGGGAGGTGGGTGCAAGCCGCCAAGTCAGCATGAGACACGGGCGCGCGCTGCGTTTCGCTATGGACATACACCTATACATATAGCCTTGGGACGAACCATTTGTCCTGCTTGGTACCGGTGACTGGCAGCAGCCGGAGACAGCCAGCTGGGCTCGCTCGTCGCCGCTCGAATGCCATTCGCTGATGACGGCGCTGTCTCGTCTCTTGTTGCGCCAAGCACGTCACCCCAAACCCCCCGTTCCCCTTCAAACCTCTTCCTCGCAGCATAAAAATAAAGCAGGGACCAATGTCTTGGTGTCCTTCTGTCATGACCACCCCCCCTTCTCTCTCTCTCGCTTGTTGGGTTGTGATGTTTGGACACTCGCGTGCCTTAGAATAGAGCTGACGAAGCCCGTACTCGGCTGCACGTGGGAATTTGCTTGTCGTTCTTTGCGATGATGTGGAACCCCTTTGAACAATCAACCCGGAAGCTTTTGCTCTCCCATTCTGGCCATGTGGCTTGTAACTTGCCTCCACATGGTACTTTTTTCCCCCATTTCATTGTCCACATCCAGGGACGGCACTCGTGACAAAGGCCGGCTGAGAGCTGGTCGCCCCGCCGAACGAAACGAACAGACCAGCCAGAGAGCCGCAATAGTCAGGAAGTCGGGTCGGGGCATTTTGAGGGAACGGAGGGGGGGTTAGGGACGCGCGTCCAAGGTACTGTCGAGACCACAGATCAGCATCCCAGACGGCATCCACGCGGCATCGCCCTCGCGCTAACCGCATCGAGCCGAGATCTGGAGTTTGTCCGCTTGGGCATCTCTTTCGTCAGCCAATCTTGTCTACTGTCCATGTATCTATCTGGTGGCACGCGCCGGGTGACTAATCCTCCGACAGGCGCAATCCCGGAATGCCCTCTTGAACCTAATCACCGAAGTGACGACACCGTCCCCGAATAACGTTTGCCTGCGGCCCCGCCCCCTTTCCCCCGGGATGGCTCATGTCGCAATCGCTTGTACTGCAAAAAAAAAAATTGGACGGTCAAGTGTGCGCGGCCGAGAGTACGGTTGCATCAGAGTGCGAGAAGAAGGGGTCCCGTGATGTTCCAGGGCGGCCGAGTTGCCAGAGTTGCCGACGAACCTTCCTTCGGGCCCAGCGAGCCGTGTAAATCACCATTAGACAGACTAGGGGCAGACGAAATTAGGAGAGCACGAGAAAGAAAGAAAGAAAGAAGAAGAAAAGAAGGAGCCAGCGCCCGTCACTCTCTCCACTCGATTTCGCCCCTGGCGCAAGCAGCCATGGAGCTTGTTCTGTCTATTGCTCTGTTGGCCATGCATCTTCGAGGAACCTCCCTATCGCGAAAGAGCGACTCTGCATGGGCAAAGCACGGCCGACAGCCGGTCCACACTTGCCGTCACTATCGGGCAGGCCTGACGAGTCACATAGAGGCAGGCCGGTCCGGACTGAACGAGAACAAGCTTTACCATCGAGATGGGCCTTGGCACGGGGTCGGTCGCATGCGTGGCTGGCAGGCGCAGTGTGGTGGACCAGGTTGAAAACCGGAAGCGAATAGATTTTGACTCCAGAGACTACCCCGGGAAGAACAGACCGCAACTGCCCCATCTTCTATCGACAGGCTGCAGGCATTAGCTTGTTCCGCCCGCCTCCTCTCCTCTGCGGCATGCCAGACGCGATCCTCCTCTCTCACCGCCGCCCGTTTTGCTTGTCTACACAGTACACTGTCATGCCACTTATCTCCTTTCAGCCTCGTTGGCGCCAAAGTACCGCTCGGGGAGGTCAACGTCCCACAGTGGCCTCTCGACGAGGACAGCCTCCAGTGATGGCAGATCCGTCGAATCATCTGACTCGGACGCCGGCTGAGCGGCGCCATCACCGGCAGGGTCCAGGGCTACAATGCCAAGGATCGGCCTGTACTTGTACGTGTACCACCACTTCTTGCGTCCGGAGCCGCTGCTGGCATCCATCTGCGTGTCCCGGTTCCGCAGCGCCGCGAGCGCATCATGCTCGCTCTCGTTGCTGAGATCGTCGTTGTCGTTGTCTTCATCGTCGTTGTCGTCCTCCTCCTCCTGATCGGCATCTGCCATGTCCGTGTCGCTGCCCTCGGATCGCGTCGCCGCCGCCGCGTTTTCGAGGTCGGTCTGCCAGTCCTTGCCGCTGACATAGCGGTCAACCTGCTGGGGGACGAGAGAACCGATGGCCATGCGGTTGCCCGCACCGCTCTCTGCGCCCTTGCGCTTCCTCTTCTGGCCCGCCTTGGCAAGCGCTGACGCGTTGCTGTCGGTAGTCAGGGCCGTGGAGGCGGCGCTGGGGTCACTGAGGTCCTGCGACAGGTCGAGCATGAAGAGGAACGACACGCCGTAGATCCAGGCGCGAGGACCCTGCCAGAGAATTCCCTTGGCAAGGTCGCGCGTGTCGCGGATGGTGTTGGGCAGACGAGCGGAGGGGTTGCGGCGGGACCAAGGCGTCAGACCGCCTTCGAGCGGGTTGAATGCTAGTATGTGCCAGACGTTTGTGACGGCGAGGAGGGTGTAGGGTGCGTCAGACGCCTCGGGCGCGAAAGACAGGACGACAGGCGGCGCAGGCAGCTTGGGTAGCAGCGTGGACGCGGGGGTGTGCTGCCATCGCTCTTTACTACCCATTGCGTCGTCAGCCTCCTCGACGTCGGCCTCACTCTCGGAAAAGTCGCTGTCTGATGACGCGTCGTCATCTTCGTCGGTCTCACCGTCGGAGCGTAGAACCCAGGTATCGATGTAGCCAGCCAGATCGGCCACAGCGAGCATTTTGCTGTCAGGGGCGAAGGTCGCGTGCGTAATGCTCCTTTCGTAGTTGCCAAGACCTCCCAATTTCAAGTGCTTGGGAATCTTACGCTTCATGCGCGTCACGCTCTGCGGCCTGGCCAGAGTGGGGGCCTCGTCACTGGTGGTGTCGCGCCTGATTCGCAAGAGGAGCATCCTGGTTCCGTCCTGGATCGCAACGAGCCAGTTTCCGTCCGGCGAGATCTGCACCAGGTTGGCTCCGTTATTGGCGAGCGAGGCGGGGACCTCAATCTGCGAGAGCCGAATGTCGGAGGGCTTGGTAGGGTTCTGGTGCTGGAGGTGGAAGGCCTTGAACTCGGTAGCTGTAGCCACGGCGAGCACGCTTCCATCAGGGGAAATGGAGGCTGCGGAAATGCTGGATTCGCCCTTGATAAGAATGGTCTTTAGAAGCTTGCGGTTCTTGTTGACGTCCTCGGCGTCGTTGTTGTAGATGCCGTCAAAGGTCTGGCGCAACTTCCAAATGTTGACCTCTCGGTCCCACCAGCTGACGATGAGGCGCGCCTTGGGTGCGCTCTGGAGAGGCGGCTGTTGAGGAAGGTTCTGAAGTGTACGGTGGTTCTCACGGCCGAGCTCCTTGAGAGGGAGCACAACCGGGGACGCATCGGGTCCTGTCAGGTTAGCATCAGTGAGAAAGGAGAGGAAGTCGGGACTTGTGCTCACCTCCTGAAACCACAACACTCATTTTTGCGCTCTCGAAGGAAGCCATAGCCTTGACGTCGTGATCGTGGTATTTCCTGCTCCAAACCTTGCCCCACCTGGAGCTTGCGCCGGCAGTCTTCTTGTACAGAACGGTCCTACGATCCATGCCTCCACTCAGCAGTGCAGTTCCGTCATTGCTTGCCGCCAGACTGAGGACATCCTGGCGATGGCTCTGCAGTCTTTGCATCTGGGTGTAGGTCTTTCCGTCCCATATAGTCACGTGGCCAGTTGAGTCGCCGGAAACGATGTCGCCGTTAGGCAGACACTTGACGGACCAGACAATGATCTCCTTGGAGCCGCCGGCAAGGTCGGCACCGAGTGTCATCTTGCGTAGCATCAAGCCGTTGCGCATATCATAGGCGCGAAGGGTAGAGTCGCTGCAGCCGACAACGACAACATCGCGGGACTGGAAGGCAATGCTCACCATCTGCGTCTTGCGAGCGGGAGACTTGACGAGGAGACGCTGGAAGCGAAGGTCCGAGTCGACAATGGTGTAGATGGCCAGCGCACCGTCGATGGTGCCTGCAACGAGTTTGGAGACGCCATCACTGGGAGAGGCGAGGGCCTTGTTGCCGGTCGGGGCGGGCTGGGCGGCGATGCACCAGATATCGCCATGCTGGCCGCTGGCGGTACGGAGAGGCCGCCCCTTCTCGAGATCCCATTCCGTGACGGCGGAGGTGTAGCCTATGCTGAAGAGGCGGGAGCGGCCGGGACTGATGTGTGCCTTGTCGGCGGGGGTATCGAGCGAGGCGTGAGGAAGCTCCTCGTCGGGCTCAACGACCCACACAAGACCGTCGACAGAGCGGTCGTTGCCGCCATGAATTATCTTCTCTTGGTGCCAGGCGCCACTGGAGGGATTCCAGAGCTCAATGTCGCCGTTTGCGCGTCCGACAGCGAGGCGGTTGAGGCTCGCCTGGAGGGTAGAACGGGTGGAGGGGCGGGAAAAGGCGAGGGCGTTGATGGGGGAAGGAGGATAAGGGACGAAGCGGCAGCGGTGGATGTCCATGGTCGGACGCTGGCTATGACCTCGTTGAATCGAATGGATCAATCGGTGTCGGTTCGCGTTGAGGAGGCTGTCACGGAGCCGGTGGGAGGGGGGGAAGGGGGGGAAGGTGGTGCCTGGCGAGCTTCTGCAGGTCTTCGGGAGGGAAGCTGCTGCAGAACAGTCTCTTGCTAAATTTTTTGGAAATTTTGTCGGCGGTCGGGGATTGACTGGCCGGGGATGCATTAAGGTGTGGTCTGTGCGCGTGTTGCGACTGCCCCGCCAACTTCACCCCACCTTCCTGTGATGTCGACAGGCAGATTTACATCATGAAGAATAAAAGAAACCCAGGCGTCTCTTTCCAGACAGCTTCTCAGCTTCCTCTGGCCAGACTACGCGAAGCACCTGAATCAGAATAAAGTCAACCCTGGGAACTAGGCTCTTCGAGGGGAGCTACTCCTAGTGGTGCGTGGCGGCTCGACTGCCACGGGCTGACTGGACTAACTGGAGCTCTTTCCATGTATTCAAAAGCAATAAAAGTCCGAGGAAGGTGTGAGGATGGTCAGTGGTACCTGCTTCAAGAGGTAGCAGCCATATGTACGACTTCGTCTCGTCTGTTCCATTCTCAAATTCCGTCTCCTCCTCCAATGCATCAACAACGCTCTCCTCCAGGCAATCTTCCGACGTCGCTTTTTGGTTGTCTTTCTTGGTACCAACCTTTTGGAAGTGCTTTCTTTCGTTCGAGTCTTACTCATCGCCATCAGAATCTGCCATTCTAGTCTAGAACAAAGGCGAGAAACCCGTTTGCTTTTCAAGCATACTACCCACAAAGATGCTCCTCAATACACCATTGCGGCAATCGAGTCCGCGCCCTTGCAAATGCCATTCCTCCTACTATTCTCTTCTATTCTATTATCTTGTCGTCCTAGTTGCTACGGGGCTGGTTGCAGCATCCCCCGTCGTTGACGAGAACCGAAGAGGTGACTCGCTCTCTTCAAACGGACATACTCCTACCGAGAGAAGACAGCTATTCGGTGTTCCGTGGGGTGCCTTCGGTCTTCAGGTCAGCCGGGGCGATCCCGATCCAAAAGATTCTGGCCTCGTCATGGACAACTCTGAGCCACAGCTTCCTCGCAAGATTGATCTCACTGTCTCCGATGAGATGCCCGTACCTGGTACTATCAACAACGGCCCTGGCGTCATGCCAGCACCAGGCGACACCTCCAGCAACCACCCTTCACCAGTCGACGGCTCTCTGCCTCTGCCGGTGCCAAGCATGCTGGACCACGACGATGTCCCTTCAGTTCCAGAAACCTTTGGTGACGAGGGTACAACCAATGGCCAGCTCCCAGGTGGTCTTGGTGATGCGCAAGGAGCAGGAGGAATGAACCAGCCGCCAACCACTCCCGTCGTAGACGTCCCGAATCAAGCCAGTCTCGTTCTGCCGCCGGATACTCGGGAGGCAACGACTCCAGCAGGACAGGTCTAGTCGCCCTCAACTGCAACCATCCTGCCGGCCAGCAATGCAGCAGCTGCCGGTGTCAATAATGACGCTCCTACGCGTATGGGGTCCCCCAACAACGGTGCTTCACTTCTCAACAGCGTGCCCACTCCGCCATCGACCGATGGCGTCTCAAACAATGACGACAGCATAGGAGCTGCACCAGGAGCCCAATTTAGTCCTGGCAAAGGAGTTGAACCGCCTTCTAGTGATACAATTCTGGTGCCAGGCGGTTTGTTCACGACTGCCGCTCTTCCAGCAGGCCTTGAGGCTTCACCGAGCAACGGCGCGCCAAACGGAGGGGCTCAGCAAGGTGGCGGTTGGGCCGATCCCCAAGGATTTCCTGCAGATCAGCCAGCTGAACCTCTCGTGACAGAGTTCACAGGCGTCTTGGGCCCAGGACAGCCTCAAGTCACTGCCCAGCCACTCCAAGGACACCCTGCTCCCAAACCAGAGCCCCAAGCTGACGGTTCTGGACAGCAGCTTGGGCAACAACCACCCGGCACCGGACCATCGCCGGGCCAAGCCCAATCACCTAGCCCCCAAGGAGAGCAGCAGCAACCAGAACCGCGTCTGCCTGCTGATCAGCCTCAACAGCAAGGACAGGGCCAGCCAGCGCAGGGTCAGTCTACGAGTCAGCCCGCGGGCCAACCTCAGCAAGCCGGAGCTCAGCAGCCTGGCGGCCAACAGCAAGATGGGCAGCAAGGTCAGGGTGCAACGCTACACCCAGCAACAGGCAATCAGCCAGGCGGAAATGCTCAGCAGTCGGGTCAAACCTCGCAGTCCGGCCAAACCTCGCAGTCCGGCCAAACCTCGCAGTCCGGCCAAACCTCGCAGTCCGGCCAAACCTCGCAGTCCGACCAAACCTCGCAGTCCGGCGATGGATCTACTCAGCAGCCTGGTACGAGCCCTGGCACGACGCAACAGAACAGTCAAGGTGCACAACCCGGACAACAGCCACAAGCCAATGGTGGTTCCGGCAATAACGGATTGTCCTCAGACGAACAAGCCCCGCGGCCCGGGTATGGGCCCCAGCCCGGCGACGGTCCGCAGCCTGGCGAGGGACCACAGCCTGGCGAGGGACCACAGCCTGGCGACGGGCCTCAACCTGGCTATGTGTCCCAACCTGCTCAAGGACCGCAGTCAGGACCAGCCCCTATTATCTC